CCACCCCCCCCCCCCCCCCCCATTTACATAAACCAAAAAGTTTTAAGTTTACTCAGAAGACTTCACTGTGTCTAATTGTTCAGTTAACAATGTCTTGAATCATCTAGGTTTTGCTTCTTTTCTAAAAATTTTCCTGGAAAACATTTTCCACTTCTCGACAGTCGTGGCCAGGGCCGAAGCATCAAGTTATTTACCAAGAAATTGTGCAGTAACTTTTTCAACTATAATTTGTTTTCCATTACCAGTATCATGTCTTAGGGGCTTCTTTCCGACAAAAAAATATCAAAGCCTTGGACTATTTTGTCCTTTGGTAAACAATATACTGCAATGACAATTAAAGTAAGGAGATGGATGACAATTGAGTTCACAGCAATCTTGTCTATTTGGCATTTTCTGGGAGATCCTTCAGGTACATTCTGTTATATATAATAATAGTCAGATAATACATCAGTGACCTTATTTACCCACTAATTACCAGCAGTTCAACCAGAGTTCAGTGATAAAATTAAGGTTTCAGGAGGTGGTAATTGCACTGTCAATGGTTTAGTTTCCTAGGTGTTTCCAGTGAAATGATATGTAGCAGATTTGTTTTGGGCAATTCATTTTTGAAGAAAATTTGTCTTAACAGCTGATGACTTGCAACCAAATCAAACTGCTGAGTCAAATTGTTAAAACAGAAGATATGGTACAATAATAACTCCATTATTATGAAAACTCCATCACAAAAGTAAAAAAAAAACAGTTTCAAATGTTTATCATATTTTTCCTACATAACTGTTTCTGGAGAAATAATTAATCGCTTTAGAAAGAAGTGAATGGGTAAGAACCTTTGGACAACTGCCAGTGTCTTTCTGTTCAGACACCATCTTTGCACATTAACACTGTCTGCTGAGTCTTGCTGTTAAGTATATTAAGAGTCCCTTGGCCACAGGCTGACCAGTCTCTGGGTGATAGTGGTTAGAGACTGGACATCAACTGACCATCTGGACACTGGTCTGATTGAAGGGTAGAAATAGCACCACAGCCAGAACAGTAATTGTCCAATGAAGAGCTTGACACAAGGACAAATAAAAACAAAGATAGTCAAGAGAGAGAGAGAGAGATTGTAATATAATGCACATGTACAAATAAATGGAAGCTTGTCTCAAATATGTTTCATAATGCTTAACCCTTTTGGACTATGATTTGATACTTCACACACACACACGCGCGCATGCACATATGCACACACACACTTCTTTTCAAATGCAATTACAGAAATTTATCAAATTTTCACATTTTCAAACATACAGTATATAGTCTTACCTCATTTATGTGCTTATATGTCTTGATCAAATCCACGCTGAGCTTTCGTAAAGGCGCACACGTGGGGTCGCGGAATGTGACAGGGATACGATTCTGCATGGCGGCCATCTCCTGCTGGTGCTGCTGGGGATCTGTTGCCATGGTGATTACGTCATCCGGGGTCACTATTCGGGGATAAAAATTTGATGCATTCCGAGACCTGCTGACAACCTGGCCTGCAAGGAGAAAAAAAACAGACATCATATTAATCTAATGTTGATTAAGATGTTAGAATATTGAAAAATATAAAGATGAGCTCTTTGTATCAGATGTGTTAAAATGCAATTGTCTCAATTTGAAACAATTTGTTGTAAATTGCTTATATGCCAGATAAAAATGTTAATATCATGTGACAATTTTCTGCAACAATTATTTCACCATTAATTCACTCCCATGAAATGAAATTCAAAGTGCATTTGATGATGCAATTCTACGTGATGGCATATACAAATGGGTAAGCCATTCATAACCCTAACCTTCTTCTAGTGCTTTAAGAAATGACAGCAGAGGAAAAAAAAAACCTGCCTCCAAGAAGAATAGTTTGATTGAAAACGTCGGAATGTTTTCATTTTCTACATACCCACATGTGAAGGACTCAAGAGAAAGTTGTTAAAGGATTAAGAATAAAGTCACAATTTGTGGTGGGTGTTAGGGGAAATTACCAGGGATCAAAAACCAAGGTCTGGACATTCCTGAACAGAAATTGCTCTTCAACAAACGTTTCACACTCTGTGAAATCACCTAGCATCTGTCTGATTCTATAATACATTTGTCTAATTTTCATTGTCAGCAGAAAAACGAAGGCTGGAGTTATTAGTTTTCACGCGTCATCATCCAATAAGCTGAGAAATTGAATTAGATGCCAGACATCATTGTGCAACAATCGGACATGTGGGGAACAGAATGTTCATTTAGGACTTCAGTGTTCAGTTATAATCATTTTAGATGGCATTGATGAATATATTTGCTCTCTCTTTCTGGCTTTTGAAAAAGAAAAACCAAAACAAAATTCTACAGATCTTTTTTTCAAAATAACAGTAAGACCCGTAATTGCACTCAATGAGCTTCCTTATTACCAAACTGATCTGACAAAATTTCTTCACTCCACTCCACTCCACTCCAACATATTATCTAATGCTNTCATTTCTTTTTTTCCCAGACACATTTTGCTAAGAGATCACTAATGTCTACATCCTAGTTAATAACATGACACGAAATTAGATTGTTTCCTTTTGCACGAGATGATCACAAGTATACAGACATACAAATAACATCACCAAACAGCTTTTGTTTATCCGGTTCAGTTAAATGACGCAAGTAAGTCTGCATTGGAGAAATTGATGTTTTGAGTAACACAAATTATCACTGCTCTTCAGCACTGCACTGTGGAGAAGAAATGACAGTTGAACCCAAGTTGCTGAAAGTGATGCAAACACAGTCTAATGAAAAAAATTATCGTGACAGACAGTGGTATAATGTGACATAATGACACAAATAACTCAATCATCAAAGCCATTGCAAGTCTGCAGAAAATCATTACATTTTTTTTTCACCTGAATAGACGGAACATTATTCCCAAGAACATGAACACAAATTAAACAGACTTCAGACCCATTTTCACAAGCAAGTAAACCGCAGACCAATAAACCAAGACAGAGCTGCAGTTGAATGAATAAACCTACTTTTTTTTTACCTTATTATTTATTTATTTATTTATTTATTCATTTATTTTTTCATAAAGGGCATGAAGGGAAAAGAAATGTCAATTGCTCTTATATAAACAAGATAACAAAGTTTCAACTGCATTAAAAATTTCAATGCCACAAATACATCAGCATCTTGCGAAAAATAGCATCACCAACACATACAGGTGGAAAGAAGGGCCACTTTGTTTAACTCGTTGCTACTTATTTTCACAGTACGCATTATTTGTCAAAAATCTGAGGGAAAAAAAAAGAAGTGTAGCCTGGTATTGCCAATGGTTTAGCACTGATGATGATAGAAGCCAAGCCACTGAGGAGGGTTCATACGGACTGTTAACAGAGGTCTGTGGTACATTCACATTAGAAAACTGCCAAAATTGCTATGGTGAATAGGGGTTTCACCTGAATGATAATAAATTTAAACAAGGCAGCAAAGCTGTCAAATGTACAGACAAAAAACAGGAAATAACTATGCACAAAATAGGCTACTGTCAATTCTGATGCAAAAGTACATTATGTTAAACTGCAAATTCAACATCAAATTTTAATTATGCTCAACAGGTAATACCAATGTAAGTAAAATGTGTAACAAGCATAAGGCTTCAGGCCCATGGGAGTTCAAGTTCACACTTTGAAAATGTATAACTTCCAGAAAAAGAAGCCAATTAGACTACTTTTCCAACTCAGGCTGCATTTTAGTCCTGTATTTCTTTTTTGAAAGTNTTTCATGACAACAGGCCTATCGGTTTTCCTTAAAATGTGTTAACAGGGTTGCATATATGCTGAAAAGTGAAAAAACAGCATTACTTCTACAATAATGGCCCGATCATGCTGATTTTCGAACTTGACCTGTGTTTTATGAATATTCATCAGCTCTGTAAATATAAAGCCAAAAAGTAAAACTGCCCTCCACTTATCGTGTTAACAAGGAAAGTGCACGGCGCCGGCATCGGCGACGGCATCGGCGACGCCATCGGCATCGGCGACGACGGCGACGACAGACGCAGGTGATGGCAATATGTACAGACACATCTGTGTCTGTACATAAAAAAAAATGATGGGATCAGTACTACAAACAGATAACTCAAATATTCATTTTTCAGTAAATGACCAATTCAAATAACCTTGCATTCTTATCAATGAAGAGAGACTCTTTTTGTACACTTAAATTCTTTTTTTAGATGTGTACATATTTTTAATGCATTCTCAGGTGCACATACTTGCACCATTATTTTTAGCCCACAGTATTAATCATCACTCTTTTCCATGCTTTGGGGAACTGGGGCAAGAAAAAAAAAGGTTCCGTTTACTTTTTCCCTTTCCTTTTCCTAACTAATCTGACTATGCCATTCTTGCAGCAGCACTCTACACGTAAGTGCCCTTTAGACTTCATTCCTCCAAACTGATTCCTCATCTCCGCTAAAAACGAATCCAGGCATACACATCTCAGAAAAGGTTTGACTTGGGACTAGTAGATTAATTCTTACAACTTAACCCTCATTACAGAACACTTTTATATTGACAGACAATCCCTCCTACGCTTCACTCTTCACTGCAGGTTAAATTTTTATCGGGCAGGATGATACAAAATGCACGAAGGCATGTCACTCTCGACCTGACCTCTGTGACCTTTGTAAATCCCTTAGATAAATATAGTGCTCTCACCTGGTGACTACACTACACTGCACAGGTTGCCTACCTGGTGCATATCATTATACAGAGCAGCAGGCCCCTATGCTTTCAACCACAGGCCCTTAAAGCTGGATTTTCATCAATATCAACTAGTCTAGCTGTGATTAAATAACAGGTGCCCTGACATGCACGCACACACATGCACATATGCACACATATACATCATAAACAGGGGCCTATTAGATCTCCACAAAGGAACATATGAAGAGGCATGGCACAGATATATACATATCATGGCATGTGATCCGTTGTCTGTTGCCCTTAGAGAGAATATGTATGGTGTCACTGGTGGAGTGCAGGCATGAGAATCATGATACTGGCAGATGATTGAACATTATTTTGGGGAGAGGACATGGGGATTAGGAATTAATTGTATAACAATTCTTCTCAGTGTCTCTCCTTGGAGTTGGAGGTTGTTAAGTGTTTTATACAAATTTTTTTTTCAAATCATCATTACCTTTTTATAATATCATATGCAAATTATTTCTTTCCTTAGAAAATTTGACACAAACAGGTATCTTTCACAACTTCCAAATCATTGATGAATCTTTTCTTACAATCTGCACTAATGAACATTCTTCCTCCTTAGTTTTTTTATTAATAAAAGTGCGATATTTTTCTTTGCTATATTGTCTTCCCATCTTTTTCTGTATTGCAAATGACCTGTGCTTGTATTCCACATTGCATTATAATTTTCCCCCATTTTTTTTTTTTCATTTTTACCAACTAATTACATAAATTTAGCCCAAACATCTGCTACTATTCAGCTACACCTAGCACTTTAAAAGTGCACTTGACTCCATATAAACATAACCATTCATATGCCATAATAAAGCCTGCCCAAATTTTTAATACAAACAATATAGATATACTGCTTGATTAGGTCAAATAACGGGCTCCTATGGTTTCCCAGATCTCTTCAAGTGTGATAAGTTTAACCTGGCTACTGTCTGCAATAGGTTATTCCTGGGAAATAAAAAGCTTTAGAAAATCTTAAGCAGAATGTGTTTTAAGTACGCTACCCTATGTGCTTGGTTATCCCTTGGAAATTGAGGGCTTTACAAGTGCTCTAACAGAAATGGTGTTATCAGCCTGTTGATATATGAATGTCAAGCAACCCATGGGAGGGATAGAGATAGGCCTGTGGTGACTTTAAATATGCAGTTTTGTCCTTTTCCTTAGAAATACAGTGACTGGTAGATGTACTGCATATATGTATGTATTGCAGTTACTTATTTCCACTGCTATTGAGTGAATGGAGTTTTAGAAGCACTCATGCTTCATCCTGGACATTTGATAAAATTGCTTCACTGGACCAAGTTTTTATGATAGTTGTACCTGAGGAATAATGCTGCACTCAATTTGATCGGCAGGGGGGGGGGGGGGGGTGTTGAAATAACTATGACAGTTCGTTAGAAAATAAAATGGACGGAAAACAGAAAGGTGATTTTTCAAGAAAATGGAATACATACTCCAAAAGTAAAAGTAACTTAAATGATAACTCTACTCTTCTTCCATTGGTGTTCTTCCTGTGACTGAAATTCACCAGTGTGTTCAGACTGACATGCTTTGGAGTTGAAAAATCAGTCTCACTTCTGTCATCAGTCTATCAGATTACAGAATCTCCCTGTTACAACAAAGGTTTCCTTGTCAATCAGCTGATCAATGGCCCTAGTTTTTCTGATTTTTCAATCCAACAAGTCCTTGTCTTAACAGAGACATCTGTGCAGCTAGCAGAATCCTCAAGAAGCATTCACAGTAATTCTGTGACTGTGCACTAA